TTGTGGCGGATGATTTCACCATGCGACCCGCGCTTGAGTTTGAAGACCCATTTACCGCTGAGCACCCGCCGATCTTTGGGAGGATCCACAAGCTCCCACGTTTGATTTTGGTGGAGTGAATTCAATTCTTCACGCATGGCCCTTTCCCAATCCATCCAGCTTGCGTCGTTTTTGGCTTGGCTCAGACATTTGGGTTCGAATGGTTCCGTCTCCTTTGCCGCCATGGTCAAGAATGTGGGAATGACGTTCTCTTCAGGTACGTTCATGAGCGCAAGCTCGTCGTCCTCATCGAGATTATTCAATGTGGCTTGTGAAGCCCGAAGTTTTAGTTCAGGGTGGTGATCTAATGTTCCTGGTTGAACTTCATGGACTGGCTGATGGAGCTCTGAATATCCTTGCCATTCTAAAATTGGCCCTCGTTGGTGTTGCTGGTCGCCACCGGATGGTAAATCAATCCCAAGGACAGAGTCCTGATAATCAGGTGATAGTGGCCCGAGGATGTTCCCTCTCCGTGTGGACGATAAGGTTATGCCTCCTTGTGTAGCAACCGCGTCGCCCTGTTGCTGGTCGGCACCGGGTGGCGATTCGATCCCAAGGACAGAATCCTGATAAGCAGGTGATAGAGGTCCGAAGGTGTTCTCACTCCGTGTGCACGACAAGGTCCTGTCTCCCTGTACAGCAACAGCTGGCTGCGAGTCATCGTCACTCGTTTGGGACGACGCTTGAGTTGGCGAGTTATCGTCACTCGGCTGGGTCAGCACTCGCGAGTTATCATCACTCCGAGGCAGTGTGTGCGAGATATCGTTTCTCGGCTTAGGTAGGGCCCGCTCTGGGGGATCCATCGACAATCGGTGCCCCGAGGCAGGCACGGATGCTTGCCGTATTCCTACCGACGGTTGGTTTATTAGTCCCACCGTCCCACTCCCCCTGCGACAGCAGCCGTTGCCTCAGGTGAGCCGTCTTGTCTGGCTCCCACATCTTCTATAGTCTGTGTGGAGGGAGTTGTAAGGACTTCTTGAAATTCAGCGTTTGGAGTTCCAACGATTCTTCCGTCTCCCAGTAGGATACGGTAGTTGGTATTTCCTTCATAGCCTAGCAGAATGCATGGCTTTGTTCGCGGATCCGTGAGCTTCTTTCTTTGCTTTGGCGGAATCAAGAATTCTCCTTTTGATCCGATCACTCTAAGTCTCGAGAGGTCAGGTCTGTCGCCGTACCACGCTTGGTACGGAGTCATGTTGAGCTTCGACGACGGCGACCGATTCGAGAGGAAAGCTGCAGTTCGAGCGATTTCCGGCCAGAACTTAGACGGTAATCTTGCATGTGCCAGCGTAGGCCCAAGGCGGTCATAGATTGTCTTATGCGCTCTTTCGGCAACCCCATTCTGCTGATGTTGGTCTACGCCTGTCACCTCAGCTTGGATTGCGCGCGAGAATAACATGAATTTCATCTCGTCTCCCATTTGTTCAGATATCCGGTCCAGACGTATTCGATGGCATTTTCGCTCGGGGCGCTCGTTATGGTCGAGGAAGAACCGCAGTGATTCTATGACGTACTGTTGTCTTCGCGGTATAGGGATTATCTCGATCCAGCCCGTGAAGTCGTCAACGATGGTCAGCCAGTAACGGCTGCCATCGAGGCCCTCATCAAATGGCCCTGCGACGTCAATATGGAGGAGGTCCATTGCGTGTTCTCCTCTCCTGCTGACTCTTGATCTTCTGTGAGACCTTTCGATCATTCGCCCCTGCAGACAGGGATTGCATGGATGACGTGCCTCCATATCCCGCACGCCATGAGCCTGCTGCTTGAGTCGCCGCAGATTTGCATCACTCATATGGGCAAGCCGGCTGTGCCACAGAGACATTTGTGGGCTAACATGGTAAGAGGGGAAAGTCAGACTTGCCCACAGATCGAGTGCGTAGACTCCATGATATTCACTGGCAGTGAACAGATTCTTTCCGTTTGATCTGTTGCGAAGGATAGCATCCCGGCTTGAGAATTCGACTTTTGCCCCTCGTTGGAGAAGCTGGAGAACCGAGATGAGATTGGCATGTGCGGATGGAACATACAGGACGTTATCAAGCACTAGCCATTTCTTTCTGCCGCGTACATTGCACAGGATATTGACTGTTCCCACTCCCGAGGGAGCTGTTGAGGTATCAATGCCTCTCAGTGAAGGCCCATGATATTTAGCCATTTGGACAAACCTGGAGGCGCTATTGCAAACGTGTTGAGCGCATCCACTATCCACGATCCATGCGTCACGGATAGAGGGGGTCTTCATCGCCATCATTATGGGAACATGGCCAAACAGAGCGAGATTGCCCTCGATGTCGTTTCCAAATGCTTCGTTGACATCTTTCCCGGAGACTTTCGTCGCCATGAAGGTTGGTTTCTTCGGGTCATTGGGGCCACTCGCATCGTCGTCCTCGTCGTCCGTCAAGGTCCGTCTCTTGGACTGTCTACGTGCGCCTATGTACATTCTGCCTGGCCTTGGCTTGGGTCCATCTCCGTCTTTCTTCTGGATCTTCAGTCTCGGGTTCTTGGTGAAACATTCGCTGTCGATGTGATATGGTTTTCGGCAGAAGGAGCAATACGGGACGTTATCAATCTCTATTCGACAAGTACTTCCATCCGACGACGGTATGAGCTTCTTGTCACCTGGCCCACGGACTAGGGCGAGAGCAGGAAGTGCTTGCGTCTCCATTGCTTGTTTGCCCAATTGCCCTTTTCTATGCTCTTCCTCAATGGCCTTGTTCTCGATATAGTCAAATGTAGGTGCTGCTTTGATGATACTCCCATTTGCGTCTCTTTCGTTGACAAGGTCCATTTGTCGGAAGATATGATCACGGAAGCTCTCGTACTCGGGGCCGAGTGCATGAACAAAGAAAAATGTTCGCTCAATTTCAGAGGTCACGCAATCAGGGTCAAGAAGGAGTTTTTCAGCATGAATCTTCCTGATCTCTGCCCCTAGCGCTTGGGTGCTCCCACACTTATCTCTTGTGAGGGCCATATATCGTCGTTGGAGGCTAACATACGTGCCAGAGCCTTCCGGTTTGAAGTTGTCCTGGACTGCCTTAAGCAGTACTTGCACTCGAGATATCTCAAAGGCATTGATTCTTTGCGCCGCATTGTGTGTCAGCTTTGCCGTAATCATCGCAGAATAGAACTTTTGGCGGTGAACCCATTGCCGTGCTCCTTCCTCTTCTATCGGTGGAGTCACTCCATCGTCGGCAACCGCAGATATCCGAATGAACTCATTGACCTTCTGGTTCCACCGAAACCAGTCGCTGGCATTATCTAATGTTGGGATTCCGTTGTAGAACGTATTGATTCCGAATTGCTCGAACTTTGCGATTTCACTCATGTCGGCAAAGGATGCTCTTCAGAGCTGAAGAATTCAGGACTTTATATGTCGTTGGGCCGATCAGAGGTAATTGATTCACTATTTGATGACTGAGGCGAGCGCACTTCCAAGCCAAAGAGTTCAAGGCTTGATGCGACACTGGGAAGACTTGAGACAATGGAAATGCTTCGATCTGATGAACTTGGCGTAGGCATCCGAGATGGAGGAGTATAGTCGCTGTCCGGAACTCCTTGTAGATTAAGGCAATACTTGTACGACCTAAAGAAGTGGGGAAAACGGTGTCGATCAACAAGATATTCCGGCTTCCTTGGAGGGAAGATTGACGGTCTGTTTGGCCTGAGTTTGTAACGACTCGAATTGCTGTTGTCGGAAATGAATGGATCTCCTCCACCCGCAGGGCTTGGTGATGTGAAGGCCAAAGTCTCAACGTTGTTTCCCGACTGAACGAGAGCACGATAGCGACTTGTCCCCCGTGCGATACTGGAACACGTGGGTTGAGCTTCGGGGAAACCTGAGAGGTCTTCCCCAGTGTTGCGAGGAGCGATGATTGGAGTGGTGATCCTCGATGCTCGGCGTATGCGGTCTTCAGTGGACAGGCGCCAGTAGGCTCCCAAAAGTGCGTTCGGAGAAAGTGATGGGAAGTAGGACGTCTGTATTTTCTTGAAGCGCCATTGGCGAGTGTATCGGAGGTATGAGAGGATGTTCAGCTCCTCATCCGTCCAAGAATGTCTCTTTTGTAGTGTTTTCCGCATTTTCCTTCCGAAATGGCATTGTGGCTGGTGACTCTAAGAAGATAGATACCGAGTTTGCTGCAGATGGTGACATGTCCCAGCAGTAGGTAACATTTGCGGTACCTCATGCCAGTTTCATAGTGTAACCGTAGCAATAATGGCATACTGTCTATGGCGATTTGACGGAGAAACTCTCGAGCCTTGCTGCAAACGGTGACATGTTCCGGCTATGGAGGCAACCTTGCGATACTGTGTGCCCTTATGGCAGTGTCACAGTAGCAATGATGGCATGCTGTTTATAGCTTTTCAGTGAAAAGAAATTCATCCGAATTATTGCTTCAAGAGGGGGTTGAGCAATAGGACTTCGTATTTTCCATCAAGTTACTGAGAATATATGATCAGTTTCTGAAGTTCATGGAGTTAGTCTCTTGACAGAGAAGCTTAGCTGTAGTGGCAGGTAAGAGATTTTGATATTTAGATGCCTGCGTGCCCAAAGGTAAAGCCACCCGGGCTCATAACCTGTTGAGATAGATAGTTGTAGTGTTCTTGTTGACGTTACTATCAAAAGTGGGAAACCCATCTACTTAAATGTACATCGCTAGTCTCGCCACACAAGCTTTGACCACCGTGATATTCAACACGTTTATTCGCGTGAATAAAAATTCATATATTCATATTCCTACAGTGCGAATATGAATATGCTGTATATTCGCATTCATTTATTCCTTTCGGAGCCCTATCCACTAGTACCTGAAACATGTTTTGTCCTAATAAAGACTTGATGAGCAGTGAATTGCCGAGAGATGAGTTTCGCAGCTGCAGAACATCATACAATAAATACATGAACGTCCGGTGTTGGGCAAATCTATTTCATCAGCTTATGCTATACACACCTGAAGGCAAGCCTACCTTCGGCTGTGATGGCTCAGTGCCCACTTAGCAAAAGCAGCGAGCGACACGGCAACATGCCGGTCATCTAGATGCCCCCCTCTGCCAGTGGGAAAAAGTGTAGGGAAAGCAGACGTGAAGTAATGAGGATCTTCCCATTGATTGAGAAGTAAAGCTTGCCCTCGGACACCGTATTCAATCACAGGGGAGCGGTGGTGCGAGCGGCTGGATGACATTTCCTGAATCGTCTGGTTAGTGGAAATAAGTTGAGGGCGCGTTTCACATGGTGATTGGTCATTAAGGGACTGTATTGTACTGAGGAGACGTAGGTCAGGGTTGTAACGATCTCCATTCAGATCAACTGTAACTGAAGCAGTGACTGGAATTGAGTCTTCGGTAAAGCTTCCTTGAGCATCGTTTGCAGCTTGCCAGTCATTCTCACAGTTCCCCCCTCGTAAGTCAACACTGTAACCAGCCCTTTCGTCAAGATCGGTCTCATCCAAGCATATAATGTCCTGCTGCAGAGCCGACGGAACAAAATCGTCAGGCCAGTTTTCCATGGTGGAATGAGAGATGGTGACATCTTGATAGAGCGGGTTGTGCTGAATCAGATATTGCAAAGCAGCGAGGACCCTGTTTTTTCGCACGATCAGGAAAGGTCGTAGATCGGCGTCCTTCGGGGGTTGTCGACCCATCCAGAAAACCTTAACAAGCTCCGTGAATTGGAGCTCCGGGCTAGGCAGTATTTGAAGAAGCGGTTTTGGATCCTGTGGTATGATAATAAAATGGCCGCGTAACGCATGGTAGTTTGCGGGTGATGACCGCCCTCCAGGGCGTAGCTTCAAAATCGCCCCAACAGGATGGGACTTAGCGATAAGGTATTCTTCTGTAAGCGTGAGATCTTTGAGAACGTCGGGATAATGGTGAGACAGAGTAACATTGATGTTGTTCCTCGTGGAGAACTTCGGAGCGGATCCTCGGACAAGAGCAGCATAGCAGAGTGAGCATACATTGATATTGAACGTAACAAAAAGTAGGAATGGGGCACGTAACTAATGAATAGGGATAGAGCAACAGGGTGGGAGAGAGTAAGTAATTGAGGAAGAGTGGTGGACTGGGAGAGATTAGTGATGCGGGAAGAGTGGTGAATTACTTTACCACTCATGTCTTCAAGGGCCCTATATCTGCCATTTCGAAAATGATCAACGTGCCAATCGTCGACTAGCTACTGCTCATACTGTAGTAGATCACACCATCTAAGTCCATAAATAGCCTCCACTGCTCAAACAGCCTCAAAGTAGCATAATACAGGCGTGCTAGATTACCCCATTAAAGTTGTAATTTCTTCTAAGCCTAGGTTGCGATATGTGCAGTAGGAGGTTCTCTCTAGGCCCTCACTTTTCGCCTCGTCTAAACGCACGCGGTATCGCGCTAATTTATCCCTCAGTTTCAATTCTACTCTTAAAATTTGTAGCGGGAATACTACTATCGTGTTTATCCCCGTGAGCCTTACCACCACTTTAATCTATCCAGGCTATTCTTTAATACGGAAGTATTGTAACATATCACAAAATAGCTAAATCGCTCCGCAATTTCATCTAGTCGCCTCTAGGGCTTCATATCATGGTTTAAAATTCCCGGATGACCCTCAAGAAAACCGTTTCGATGCTCCGTGTGCCAACGTATACTCTGGTGCATACAACTCATATTTAAAGCCGCGCAGTGTGCTTTTAATTCCGTCCATCCAAGTCAAGATAGTCTATTGTTCTTAAGGTCTTTCGAAGATGCATTCTTTCTTAATTGCAATTCTAGCCATTATTCAGGCAGGTACTTCCCGAGCCGGAACCATTGAGGTCATAGATCATGATGGGCAATGTCTGATATGGTCTAACGATAATTATGGCTGCACGGGTTACTCTGCGTCTTTTGGCCTTCTCGATGGAGTTGATTGTTCAAGTAGGCAAACTCAATTGAAACTTCAGACCGCTGTTAACAGTTTGCTAGAGCTCAGTGAGGTCGTGAATGGCAACCGTCATGAATTGAATGTGCTCAACGTCGACGTATGCGGTACAGAAGACGGCTTACCCGCTGCTTGGATCCAGGTGAACCACACGGGATTGGTCACCTTTTCCAATAAAAATGGGAACCAAGCGTCCTGTGTGCTCAATAATAGATTAAAGACTGGTAGCTGGTGTGTTGCAACTGGAAAATGGAACAAAACGAATTCGCCCTCCTACTCATCTACCAGTAAACTATCTACCGGCACTCCATCTGCTAGGACTCCATTTACCAGCACTCCGTCAGCCAGCAGTCCATCTACCAGCAGTCCATCTACCAGCAGTCCATCTACCAGCAGTCCATCTACCAGCAGTCCATCTACCAGCACTCCGTCTACCAGCACTCCATCTACCAGCACTCCGTCTACCAGCAGTCCATCTACCAGCACTCCATCTACCAGCACTCCATCTACCAGCACTCCGTCTACTAGCATGCTATCTACGACCACTATGGAAGATAACCTCGTCACGAGTACTAGTGTTGTTTGGGTCACGAGGTAACTATTCTATAATAAAACTCTTATGCGAACGTCCTTCAAAAAATAAGGTCAGAGGTTTAAATTATTTCGCATCGTGGCAGCTACAGTACTGTATGAAAAGAATGTCGAGGATTCAATGAAGCGCATAATCGCAGCGGCGAGCACGTAGTCGTGAAGTTCGGCTTAAAAGGCTTTTGCTGATAGCTCTTGTGTCACACTTATGGCTGATCCAACTACGAAAGTCCATAGAGTATAGTAGCGACCGCTTTCGCCCTTTCTATCGGACGTAGAGGAGCTATTTCAAACGCTAATCATATGGTGCGCTAAGCTGTATATAGCTATTCCTATATTTAAGGATCTGTTACAAGGCTAAATACAGTAGGATAATACTGAACGAAGAAAAGACTCAGTAAGGTATCCATCATGTATTGCTACGGTACCAAATACACATCCACTATCCGTCACTGCAACTTATACAGAAATATAGTCCTAACCCACCGAAAGATGACCTGAAAGCTTGATCCCTGGTGGAATCGGGGTACATATGACACAATAGTAGCGGTAGAGCACAACTAGATCTCAATAAGCGAAAATGGCGAAGTCCAGTGAGTGCTCATTATACATGAATTGGGAGAGAGTGATGAATTGGGTGAGAGTGATGAATTGGGAGAGAGTGATGAATTGGGAGAAAGTGATGAATTGGGAGAGAGTGATGAATTGAAGAGCGATGAATTGGCAGAGTGACGTTACCGGATATTCCTCGGGCGCACTAGTAAAGTCGGGGCCATCGGCCCTCAAGTTTCTCACTCTTCGCGTCTTAATACTGTCCTCAGTCTTCAAACTCCCATCTCCACAGAATACTCATTGGAGGATAACCGAGACTCAGACTCATATTCTAGATCTCTCATTTGATATACTTCATCAAGTGTTCAATTGGCTCGATGATATTGACGATGTCTTGCATTTTGCATGCTGTTGCAGACTCGTGAATTCCGTCTTTGAATTCCCGGGCTTTCGTTTGGCTGTGTTCAGATCAATTATACTTAATCTGGTATGAGAAACCGATCCTCAAACTGCATATGCTATTCTACATGTACATGATGTACAGACTATGTGCAAGGAGAGAGCAACTTTCGGCCTGCGACTTACCACTACAGTGTTTGTGATTTGTTTTTGTTTTACCATCAGGCCAATTTGACCAGTAAGACAATGGTCGAATATCGGCGGTAGCCAGTTAAACTCTGTTTCTCGGCCATAAAAGTGTTTTCGAAGTGGCGGACAGGAGATGGGGTCTCTGGTATAGATTAACACAGCCTCCTCTCAATTCATCATTCTCTCTTAATTCACCACTGACTTATCGGAAGAGAGCAGTTGATCCTGGATGATACCAATAGATCGGCTGCACCCCGGAGCTGCCTGGTCTATGATTAATGAAATGCCGGACAAGAGGTTTCTGGAATTATCTTTTAGTTTGCTCCTAAGTTCTCAATCAAAAGGTCATTCGGTTTCCGTTGCATTAACGTCGGGATACGGACTGTGTGTCGGGATACGTGGCAGATCGGTCTCTATATATTGGTTTTGTCTCCCCGTCTTAGGAAGTAAGTTACAACGCTTGTTTCCTCTACTTTGTGCAAAGCTTAATGAGAGAGCCGAAATAAATTATATCCTATAATGGCCGATAATGCGCTCCCCAATCTCTACCGGCATTATTCTAGCAATAATAACGACGATAACACCTCGCTCCCCTCTATAGAAGAAGCCTAAGATAAGCCGCCCTCGGTCATCAGTGAGTTTGGCTCTAATCTAGTTACGAAGGCTTTCATTAGGCGGAGTTGGCGACGATATGAACAAAGCCCGGACCAAAGGTTCGCAACTCAGTGAGGTCGTGAATGGCAACCGTCATGAATTGAATGTGCTCAACGTCGACGTATGCGGTACAGAAGACGGTTCGCCTGCTGCTTGGATACAGGTGAACCACACGGGACTGGTCACTTTTTCCAATAAAAATGGGAATCAAGCGTCCTGTGTACTCAATGATGGATTAAAGACTGGCAGCCGGTGTATTGCAATTAAGAAATTGGATAAAACGAACTCGCCTTCCTACTCATCTACCAGCACTCCATCTACCAGAACTTTATCTACCAGAACTTTATCTACCGGCACTTCATCTACCGGCACTTCATCTACCACCACTTCATCTACCACCACGTCGAAAATCACGACCACTAGTATTATTTGGGTCACAGTATAACTATTCTACAGGATGGATCGAAAGCAAATTCACCACTTTGCGCTCTTATAATTTTTTCTTGAACCCTATTTCGAAGCGCATTAATCCATATTCGTTCTAGCGTGTTTCGAAGTTGCGAAATGTATTGTAAGGGCTTATCACAAGGTGACTCGCCGCATAAACTAGATGAAACAGCCATACAATCGACTCGCCCCTTTCTTAGTAGGCGGTGGCAAGTTCCGACATTGAAGCTTAGTAACCCGATGCACCTACACCGCTTGCTTTATAAGAGTCATGTTGTTCGCCGCTCCCAAATCTAGTGGCGAAAAGCATAACTTACGACTGAATTCCAAACAAGCTTTCCCTCTACCCAGCGAAGTAAGTGTAAATTTCAAAAGCTGATGGAAAGTGAAGGAGATCTAGCTAAGTGGCTCTCCGACGAGAGCTCAGCACAAGCATCAGCTGTAAAGGTTTTTCGATACTACTTGACCGTCGAGGAAGCAACCCAAATTATTCAACAATTTCGATCTGAATATTGGCATGATAATCGTCAGGTACTGTGGAGCGGTATGCTGCGTGAAAATGCTCAAAACTGGGCCGATGAGCATGAAATGCAGACTCTGACCACAGCCATGGGTCCGCTGATGATGCCAGAGCATCCGCTTTGTCTCAAATCCAAAAAAGCTCCACATGCGTGGAGTCAATATATACATGGTGCCTCGGCTATATTTGCTTGGCAAATTGCCAGAGGCGAAAGTGTTACAGTCTTGACGCCTCCTCCCCCAGACCGCTTTAATCCATCGGGATTTACATATTACCAAGTAATAGAACAACCTATTATCAAGGGAGCTGTCGGGGACGACTTCGTGTGCCACATTGATGCGGTCCATCCAACGGTGAAAAGAGCGAAGGATTTCTCTTACCAGTTATGGCCGGATGACAACAAGTCGACCTGGATCAAGCGGTTTGGGTTGCAAACTGGGCCTAGAAATTGGCGGGCCACAGGCCAACGTGAAGAAAAGCTACAACTTAAAAGTATGATGGATTTGCACGATGGCCCGTCACATTCTGCAATCACATCAAAACCGTCGCCTATCAAAAAGGTAAGCCACAAAGGGTTTGCTGATAGTTCACTCATTATCTTTGAAACCAGAGGACAAAACCATCTTGCTTGTAATTGTCAGGATGTCTCTATCTTGAACGGGAACGGTATCCAGCTTTACCTTTGTACTGTTTCAACCCTTCTTCAAAACTCATCATCTTGTTTTGCTGAAAGCTTCGTTTCTTTCGTCCCGGCATGCGGATCGCAACGGAAGCTGTCTGCGAAAGGGGGTTTGAGCATCTTATCCTAATACTTCTCCAGCTCAACTATAATGGAAAGGCCACTGGGGGATTCAGGGAATAGACAAAGCTAAGAAAGCGAATCCAGGAAAAGCCAAAGACAAAACCGTCCGAAAAGAGAGCCAAAGCCGAGAAGAAAGCCAAAGCCGAGAAGAAAGCCAAAGCCGAGAAGAAAGCCAAATCCGAGAAGAAAGCCAAATCCGAGAAGAAAGCCAAATCCGAGAAGAAAGCCAAATCCGAGAAGAAAGCCAAATCCGAGAAGAAAGCCAAATACGAGAAGAAAGCCAAATCCGAGAAGAAAGCCAAATACGAGAAGAAAGCCAAATCCGAGAAGAAAGCCAAATCCGAGAAGAAAGCCAAATCCGAGAAGAAAGCCAAAGCCGAGAAGAAAGCCAAAGCCGAGAAGAAAGCCAAAGCCGAGAAGAAAGCCAAATCCGAGAAGAAAGCCAAAGCCGAGAAGAAAGTCAAAGCCGAGAAGAAAGCCAACGTTGAGAAGAAAGCCAAATCCGAGAAGAAAGCCAAATCCGAGAAGAAAGCCAAAGCCGAGAAGAAAGTCAAAGCCGAGAAGAAAGCCAACGTTGAGAAGAAAGCCAAAGCCGAAAAAAACGTCAAAGTCGATAAGAAAAGAATGACTAAAACCAAAATATAATAACGCTTTTTCAAATTGCGGCACGTCTGATCCTTGCTTTATAATGTAACTCTAGAAGCACCTGGCTACATGAACCGGTACCCAGGCTATTGTTCACCTCGATTATGGACAAGTCTTGATTCCCATGAAGTGAGAATGCCAAGAAAATATCAGATCGCTGCAGATCCGTGAACAAGATAATTGACGGCGTCTTGATCTGTCGGCAAGTTTCGAATCTCTTGAATCAACGACGATATCTCCTCCGGCGTTCCAGAGCGCAGTTTGGCAACCGTTCGGCTAAGGGCGACACGGAAGTTTAACAGCTCGGCGGTATGAGCTTTACGTCTCCGGTCACGGGCTGGATCATACAAGCATTGGCGACTTTCAGTCATACATGTCGTGCAAGGGTTCGTACCAGAGCACTGCACCGGGTTAGCTCCGTCATCGAATGGAGAAACGACATTTCTAACCTTAGACCTTTTTTTCTGACACTCGGTACAGGCCAGAGATACATTGCGTCGCTGTTTTGCCGACGAGTCCGTTTTCAGATACAGGATGCTGAATTCCTTATCCCTAGGCAGGAGCTCGCGCAGAAGAGTATTTTTCGACATTGCGGGATTGGATGAGTGACAGGCGCTTTGCGGATAGAGAGGTTTAGACATGAGAGTGGGCTTTAGGAGACTCAGGGAGGACCAGGGATTCAGGGGCACCAGTGAGACTCATTTTGTTCTCCTTTCACATCCTTGCTCGCAGTTCTCTTTGTTTGCTAGACAAAAAATCATCCATAGCAAACAAACAACCCAGCCAGGAGACCCACCATCGGAGAACACTCCGCAATCATATTGAAAGATCACCGATCAAACGGAAGCATCGGCTCTCATTGGCCACGTTATGTCCTAGACCGACCCCCCGGCATCATGCTGAGCTGTAGTATTCCGCACCACCCCTGGCGTGTCAGCAACACCAGCAAGATCGATATATCCATCCGATACAGGAAGAGCACGCTGCATCAAGTCAATCTAGCTATTTGGTATCTTTGATCGACGCAAGCCAAGTACACTTAACCCTGATTGAGTGACTATCGCTGAATCTCTTCCCCCGGCAATGCTCTTCTGTTTGGCTTGTTTGCAGAACTAGTAGTTCAGGCCCCAATGAGTCAATGTACAGATACCCGAACGGTTGGGCCGCGCGATCCGTCGATCCGCCCCGGCCTGCCTTCCTATCTCCACTCCCACTAACCCAGCGGCTAAGGTTATGCAAGTACACCATCTCAGTCCATTTTTCGTTCACCCATCTCAAGTGTATACTTCCATTTTGAACCAATCTACGAATCGGTATGAACTCGCCGACTCATACTATAGATCCAGACGGCGAAGTGATCATAATATTGCGCAATGCGAACAGTCCGTTTGCACAACTGGCTGGAAATACATTTACTAGTAGGGACTCTGACGTCTTTCCGTGGTTGTTTGGTAATGCCCAAAGTTCTCATGAGGCGACCGAGGCGACCAAAATCCTTTTCGAACAGCCAGAGCTGAGTCTCAAGGAAAAGGGGAGGAATAAGAAGAAGGAAAAGAAAAGAAAGGCTGGCGCTATTCTGACCGCTCTTGAGTCCACTTCGTCAATTGAAGAGCCCGCCGCTCATGATTCTACTTCAGGCTATTCATGGTCAATACTATCATATACCCCGAAAGCTGACCCTGGAGATGCTCGCCAAAGTTGCTGTTATAGCAGACTACTATGATTGCAAGGAGGCTTTGTATTTCCAGACAGATATGTGGATCATGAACGTGGAGGAGAATATTCCTACGGCGGTTTCTCGGGATTTGACTTTATGGCTATGGGTTGCCTGGTTTTTCCAACTTTCTTCCCAATTCAAATTATCAACTTCCATTGCCATGTCACAGAGCGACGGTTGGATTGATAATTTGGGACTTCCGTCCCAGACACTGTCATAGGTGAGGGTAGACGAATTCTCCCGAGTGCTTGGAAACCAATGGAATTGCAGGTTCAATGAACAGATGTAGAGAAAAGGCCATAAACAAATTTGATTGTCCTTCTTGTTGAAACATGGGATGCCTTTTTACTCGGCACTGGGCTGTTGTTTTGAATGTCGCTCAATCATGTATGGGGCTCTTACCATGCAGATGCGGTCAAGCAACCTGCTTTTACCGAAGCCTAAGACTCCTTTTCCGAATTTGGATTACAACTCTCTTATGCGGAGAATAATGGCGTTCACATCGCCAGAATGGTATAATTCATCCTCGAGTTATTCGAGCTATAGATCCACCAATCTGCCCTGACGCCTCCTTCGCATCCGTATTCGCGGTACTGAAGGATTCTCTTGAGGGGCTGGAACTGAATCGGTTCACTAGTACACAATTTGCGATCTCTGTGATGCTGTCTAAATGATAATCTCACGTAGGTTGGAACATGCGGTCATGGTGCGATGTCGAGTGTAAGCCAGTTACTTGATTATGACTGTTATCTTGCATACATTCGTTGACCTGGACTACTTGTATGTAAGATCATGTATGCACACGAGGTAGTCCTCATTATGGCATAGTTTTACTCCTTGCCCCTAGTTCCAGTGGTAGGATTTTGGACGAAACTATGAAAGCGAGAGTTCTCATACTTGATGTCGTCGCTAGCATGTGAAATTCTGCACATATTCATACATCAATTTCGTCCACGTAGAATCCGTACTTTTGAAGAAAAAGTCGCGGCAAACCTTCGAGATTGGGGTGCATAGATGCTTCCCAATTGGGGGACGTACTGTACATGATGTAAAGTCTCTGTGCAAGGAGAGAGCCCCTTACGGCCTGTGACTTACCATTTGAGAGTTTATGATTTGTTCTTTTGGACCACGAATAAGACAATAGTCGAAAATAGGTGGTAGCCAGTTGAACTGTGTTTCTAGGCCATGAAAGTGTTTTTTCGAAGTGGCGGACAGGGGGTGGGGTCTCTGGTATGGATTAACACAGCCTCCTCCCAATTCATCATTCTCTCTTAACTCACCACTGACTCATCAGAAGAGAGCAGTTGATCCTGGATGATACCAATAGATCGGCTGCACCCCCGGAGCTGCCCGGTCTATGATTAATGAAATGCCGGACACGAGTTTTCTGGAATCATCATTTAGTTTGCTCCCAAGTTCTCAATCAAACTGTCATTCAGTTTCTATTGCATTAATATCGGGATACGTGGCAGATCGGTCTCTATATATTGGTTGTTTCTCCCCGTCTCAGGAAGTACAACGCTTGTTACCTCTACTTTGTGCAAATCTCAACGAGAGAACCGAAATAAATTATATCCCATTATGGCCGATAGTGCGCTCCCCGATCTCTACCGGCATTTTTCTGGCAATAATGACGACGACAACACCTCGCTCCCCTCCACAGGAAAAGCCCCCGATAAGCCGCCCTCGGTCATCAGTGAGCTTGGCTCTAATCTAGTTACGTTGCAATGCATCTCAGGACGGTCATATTCTACGCCCAGAAATGATTTCTCCTCGAACTTCCACGTCACTTCAATACAGGAGCCACCTCAGCTGGTGATCCAGGTGGGAGGTACTGATATATGGTACATCGACACTCCACCCAAGTCTGAATGCCCGGTGCATCGGACTACGGGTCTGGATTTCTTAGTCCAGATCCTGGGAGAGATGGAGGTTACTCATTTCACGGGCGAGCAACAAATCATACGACCTGGCGATTTAACCATCCAGGGTTCCACTTTCACCAAATGGCGCAATCCAAGCAGGTATCAATGGGCTCGGATGATGGGATTTATGTCTACGGCCCGTTCTATTGGGAAAGAAGATCCGCCGTCTAGAGCAGGGTTTTCCAAGCTGTGAAAAAGTCTGTTACTTCTACATTCCACAATGATTTAGTAATACTTTAGACTGTTTCAGAGAGTTGCATGGACGTACTGTATGTGTACACGGATGTGTATATATGCTGTATCCTGCATATCACTTCTGAAGTTGGATTCTACATCACAACCCACTAGGCTGGTTACGGATTCCTATTTTAGTCTAGTTGCGAAATCAACTTCTGAGGGGTCAGTTAAATGAAACCAATGATACCTGGGCGCTGTGTAAACGCAGCTCTGATCCTTAATGAAATTTCAAGTGGTGAACAATCATTTTCATTGTACATGTAGCATTTCCTCTCGCCTTTCCTGTGTTCTTCCATCAGATGTCCCTTCCAATCTCGAATCGTCTTCCGAAGTATCGACAATCGCCCGTATCTCTCATCTTTAGCGACCCATCAGCTAAGCATGTGATCTCGTCTCTCAAATGGCGCATACGCTTTGTAGTTTCATTTCGACCCCTTTCTGTAAATTGGATCCTCTCCACCTTCATATGTAACCCTAGCAGCGCCTGTGTAGTCCGTTCATCCAAATTGCCTTCAATCTTCAGATTGATGCGGAATATCCATGTGTTGTACCACACCTCGTTCAAAAGGTTGATTCCCTTCTCCCCTGCACATGCATAAACGAGTTCCCTTCGGAGCCAGGATGGGTGGGGTCGTATGCGATCCTGGTGATAGCAGATTCCGTGGCACTGAGAATTCTCCCCAAAATTGTGCTTGATAGCCTGCTCTAGAAGTCGAATATGTTGGTGCGCAGTATCCGTGGTAATTCCATGCTGTCTGCCATACACGTGGACATAGCGAACCATTCTTGTTTATTTTGCTGGGACAGCAATCCCTGTGATCTCGTGGAATTGGCTGAATTTATATAATTCGATTATAGCAAGTATATAATTACAAAATTAATCTAATTTCAGTTCTAGCACCGATATTGGCACACCAATTCGACAAGAAATCCTCGAATCCAGTTGAGCCGCTTGCAAAGGGACAGATTGAATTTTTATTGTGGATGGTCTTGGAGCCCTTTCGACAATAGAAATCATCTTTGTTCTATAACGATTTGATCTTCGGTTATTGGAGGGTGACACTAAGTCGATAAACAGATTATGTGAGGGTTGTGGTAAACACGCCGTGAAGGGGGAATTACTCAGGCAATCTACATGCTCTACTTGGATGAGAGACTTTGTCAAGGAACCCGTATAATTTTGTAGTTTGTTTCGTTTGGTGGGGAGGGTGGCCGCCAGGGGGTTGCCCGCTGAACCTCAAAATGCCCCTCTGACCTGAACGACAAATGTGCCCCTTAGTGCCAGGACACTGCGCATCAACAAGTCATCGTCGTAAGCAATTTGCATGACCATTGAAACAAATGGTGCCTTTTACGCTAGTGTGGTGGCTAGCAGTGGATGGTATTCTTGAAGTAATGAGACAACAACAACGGTTAGGCGAAGATTAACATCCCAAATCGTCTTGGACTCAAGTATGTGCTCAATCCCTTGGACCAAGCAATCCCCTCGTCCGGGGTTCGAATTGAAAAACAGTTGTTTGTTTTTAGTCCTTTTAGGCGCCAAATACTTTAAAGATCTCAAGATGACCATATAAATCAAATTGTGAGGCCAGACCCGTAATGTGGAAAATGAACGTTTGCCTAGAAATTAATTGATCAGATTGTCTACTACGTCGTATTTACTTTACGCCCCCCCTTGCAATTTGCTAATAAACATTTTCAAGGGTTATTCAAAGGGCAAAATGTATGAATCATGATTAACTACACCTGATAGATCAGCTGAGGGAGTCTCTTCGAGTAGGCAACAACAGCAATGAGGCCAGATGAAACTTTTGATGACCAGTTGAAGGTATGAGAAAAGCAAAAAAGGCTAGAGGTTCACCGAGGGAATGTAGTAAATTGAGGGAGAATGGGGTATTGAAAGGTTTATATATACTGAAGGGATCATTGTCTAATTGCTTAATCGGCGACTTATTGCAGCGCATGTACGATGCTAAACTGACAAAGCATAGAGCTTACATATAAACTACGGTGTTAAGGAGCAAGAAGGATAGTTTTGTATCTCCTCTGCACAACGAACAAGTCAATCGATTTTGCGTGTCTTTCCATTTAACATCTAGACCCAGGATGTCGCCTAAGAAGCCTCTCCAGAAGGCAACTGTCATCAAAACTGCTTGTGAGCATCAAAGTCAGGCTCCGGCTCGAGCCGACAAGAGCGTTCTAGAAAAAATCCAAAAATGTCTGAATCGTGCATATCACGTCAAAGCATCGGAAGCAGAAGCCAAAACCGCGCTCTTCATATCTCAGAAACTCATGAGTGAGCATAATGTGACTCAAGCAGATCTCATTGCCAACGATGATAGAAGCAACAAAGCGTGCTACGGTGGGCGGAGTATCGTTCGCATTGAAAAAGTCACGGGCTTATCGCGGAGGGTAATGAGAGAGGCTTTTGTCGAGAGGGTGGCGACGGCAATGTGCACTTTTTTTGACTGCAAAAGCTTCTCGACCGATTTTGGTATCTCTGTGGAATGGTCATTCTTCGGTATTGCTAGCAACACGGTTGCCGCAGCAATAGCCTTTGAAATGGCACACAATCTGATCTTGGAATGGGGATGTGTCTACAAAGGGGGTGCACCTACTTTCAGCTACCGTCTCGGCGTGGCAGACGGACTTAAGACTATGGCCAATCGCGAAAAGCAAAATGAGCTTGCGGAAGTCCAGCGCAACGAACTAGATTCGGTCGCAGCAAGAAGTCTCGAGGAAAAAAAGGAGCTCCAGCGAGAGTTGGACATGATAGCGGAACTCTCTGCCGAAGCCAAGAGCACATCAGACCATGACGACGAGGATATGGCCTCATTGAAATTTGAATCTGACAACGAGTCCAACAGCGATTCCAACGACATTGATGGGTGGAACATCAAAGCCGATTTCAGCACGGATGATTTGCAAACTATCGATCTATGCGATGACGTGGACGAGAACATCGAGACGTATATGAAGCGGGAGCCAACCAAGCCACCAAATCCCAACGAAATCCCCGAATCTCTGGCTGAGTTTGATAGAAAGGTCGAACCCGAGACTAAGCCTCCAACGCCAATGGCATCTTGTTGGAAATCTCAGATGCAGCTCGTTCACTTTCGGGCAACATCGGAGCAGGTTGCGGATGATTATCTAGCGCAGCATAAGATTAAGCTACGCAGTGGAAGGAAACGGAAATCAACCATTCGAGATAAAGATTCCTATCGTCGGGGACAGCAGGACAGTTCAAAAATTGATGTCCGGCAGACAGCGCTAACATGAAGACTTTTGCTCAGGTTCACGACAGTCATCTTGTTCAGACGACTAGTCCGTAGCCTCTAAGATGGTCAAAAGCTGCGGGATAGAATCCTCTGCCGATCATTGTTCTTTTCGGGGGAAAAAGGTCTCGTGGTGAATTGTACAGTTAAATGAAAATAGATAAATGTTTTAATATTAATTGGTTACTGCGAACTGAGAAGGCATGGATAGCTTTTTCTTCTATTTCGTTGCTGAGAAGGACGGAGTGACGGGGGTCTACTTTGACGGGATGAGGAGAACATATATCACGGTATCTCGATAGAGTTCTAATATAAGTTGCAATTGAGAAGTGGGCCAAGTAGCGCTACAAGGTGAATACACCTACCACCCAGTCATCTTTTTCTCTGGTTTGCCAAGCGCTTTGATCGCCCTATTCCCGGAATAGTCCTCTCCTCCATGGCCCCTTTTGCATTTACCGGACCCTTGTTGACAGGGCGGATCATCATTCTCCGGCTGGCTAGTCTGGATAGATGGTTCCATTTTATCGCCTTGACGGGACCACGACTGGTACAGTTCACCACAAGATGACATGTGGCCCTCTGCCATCCAATAACAGCTTTCATCTTTGTCTTGTGAGGCTCCTGCGGTAAATCTGGTTAGCAAAACGAATTTTGCCCTGTTCGAATAAACGTACTTTCTTCGCCCTCGGCAGACTTGGGGACTTCTGATCTTTCCTCCTCTAGATGGACGTAGGGGATTGATTCAGGGGAGCAAATACAATCACGGCTCTGACCATATATTAATCGGGATGATGCCAAATCAAAATTCGAATCCGTTACTGCGGGTTCGTCGTGTAGAACAGGGAAGCCTCTGTCGCGCAAACGTGCTCAATATTCCGTGGTACAGAAAGATTCAGTGCTCCTAGCAGAATTATGCTGCTCTGGTGTGTGCTGTTCTATTCGCCACAGCTGTCGTCGTCATTTATAACGATAGGGTTGGCTTCCGATCCCAATTCATCAGGCACATCACTCCATCCTCTGGTAATGATCATGGTGCCTTGTGTTGCGACAGAATGATGATATATTGTTGAGCCAGACTGAGGCATCAGAAGCAGCTAGTCTTATGCTAGCTAGATTAGCAAGTAATCTTCCCCACAGGACAATTTTTTCGTACCTGGAGCTTCTACGATGGACTCGTGAGAGCTTTATTGACTGAGCTGTTCATGTTCCAGAGATTATATTGATGTATTTATATGCAACAATCTGGGAAACTAAGTGAACTGAGCTGGGAAAAATAGAAGCTCCCAGGAGATAGTCAGGCCCTGTTCTCCAAGATAAGGTATGATCGGGCCCTTTCTTGATGTTTACTGCCCATATACTCCTAGGAATTGCGCGAGTAGATTAGCCGAGACGCCGAAGTTTGGTAATACATTGGTAAAAGGTTGATCTGCTCCTCGGAAATCGCTGCGCGCTCCTGTAGCTTCTGTATCAGTCTCGTAAGGTCTCCAGGGTTTCTTGAACGTTGATCCAGCAAACAAACCAAACAGACGGATGTCTGCTCCATTGGAGATGTGGCAGGACTCCGAATCCCTATCTTTCTGACCACTTGCCCTCGAGTGCTCATTGCGAACGAACGACTTGCCTATCCTAAGACTAGTAGGCCTCAAAACGCATTTGGCCATCATAAAGTTCAATCTCCTCCACCTGCGTGACATCTTCAAGGAATGTAGCGCCATACTCTCTCATCATCTATATCTTCTCCTCCATATTCATCACTAAACTTGTTCACCGCTGCCTGATTACTTTCCCACTCTCACACCAAAAGCTATCTATAATCCCATCCACACCACTGGTATGCGATGAAGTCGGATATCCACAAGCGAAAGTACCGAGACCGTCACTAATTAGAATTGAACGTTAAACAAAACATGGAGCAACAGGAAAGTGGTCTTATTTGATTTCCTCGGTGCAACCCGGAGGACAAATCTCCTCTCCCTTGCTTTTTGGTGAACAAAGCTGTTCTGAAGTACGTGTAAAAAGCAGTTGGTCTGACCGGAGGCTGTCATAATTCGCTCCTTGATCAACTTTGCTTCTTTCACCGTCCTTTACACCTCGACCGACGGACACTGAGCAGAATTTTGACTAATATCGGGGCCACGGGAACAACTGGACGAATGCTGGGCTGGTAGAAAGAATATTCGCCCAATACACACTCTGTGGAAGAAAAAATTTTGGTAACCATTAAGGCTGGTGGTGTAAAGCTTAACGAGCCTGGGTCATATTCGGCATCTCCGCCACCTGGTTCCACCATCAAAGGCACAGCACACTCGTCAGAGAGATCGTGCAAAGACCATTCCATCTTGCAAACCTCTGATTGAAGAAGAACTCGTTTCAGTTCTCTTGATAATTGGTGTGTCTGCTGAGGATCGGATGTGGACTGCAATTTTATATTGAAACAATATATGGATAGGTGTAAGTTGATCAGCTTTCTAAAATGTGTGAATGGGTGTTGTTTAAATATTTTCGTGCTACGTGCTGCTGATGGCAAGTTTTCCTCCGTCAAACAAAAGTCGGGATGGAGTATAATCCGCGCCATGATAGATGTCTAATCAACGGCTATTTATCCAATATAAGGTTTCGTCAATATAGTTTTGCCCAAGATCTAGTCAACTACTTCGTTTCGCCATCAGAACACTCTGTCCATGGCACGTAGTCGCCGCAATCGTAACCATTATTAATAAAGATGACCAGATAGTCGTGCGTAGCACACTGCCGCATTGTCATGCGCCCCCACGTATAAGTGCATTTGATAGACCCTTGTCTGGCTTAGATCAGGCCTAATGTAGAAGAATAATAATATCTGGCACTAGTCCAACTCTTACATCATTGCAAAAGGTGACGAAGAGACAAGGGCAAGGATAGGAGAATGAGCAAGTATTAGAAACGTGGTAACTGGAATTTACTGATGATGAGATGCTTTATTTCCAACACGAATCGATTCGGCGCCCAAGGGGGAAAAGAAGTCACAAAGATGCGTGCAGCACGCTGCGATTCTGTATCTCTTGCACGATTTGTCTTCTGGTGCCCTCATCTGCACACTGCATAACTGTCTGCCCCTTACAATTTTCAATGTTCACGTTTGCTCCTTTGCGGACCAGGTATTGAATAACGTCATCTCTTTTGAGAGCCAATGCTGTGTGTAAGGGAGTTTCCCTCATAAAAGGGAACATATCCCAAGACGCTTGATGGTCTTGGTACATGAGAGAATTGAGAGGAGCACCCTTATCTATGAGGATTTTGACCACTTCGAGGGTTTCCGACTCTCGGTAAATCGCATTATGCACAAGCTGACCTTTCCTGACATCACCGCCACGACGCAGGAGAAGATCAATAGTTGGCAGATCGGCGTATTTGACGGCGTAAGAGAGCGGTGTGGAATCAATATAGCAACGTACATTAGGACCCGCGCCACGATCAAGGAGCCATATGGTCATCTCCCAGTCCTTGAGCGCATTGCTAGAAGTAAAAAGCGTCACTTAACTGGTAATCCTAAAAGGGAACAGGTTTGCTCACGTAAGAACGGGGGGTTCCATTCTACCCATTGGCTTGTTGATATCCCAGGCATTAGCGAAGAAGGTTGACAAGATGTCTTTCGCCTTGGCCTTGACTGCTTCGAGGACATAAATTGGTGACATAGGCAAATTACGACGGAGTAGCTCCTGAACAAGCCAGATTTTGTTTGACTTTATGGCACCAATCATCACCCCGGAGAGATGACGGATGTCCCAATCATCAGAGAGAGAGTGATCAAGGAGTTGTTGCAACTGTTGGTCGTCGTCAAGTTCTTCCAAGCGGTGAACCAAGGAGAGCATCTGTGTTGGTACCGGGGGAGGGGTTTCACTCCGGCTAGAAGGTCCCTTTTCAAGGATATGTTGGGCAGACATGGTTGAATCCTCAGGCGGTAAGAAGTGAGAAGACGGATGGATTGATGACTCTTCGATAAGCGGAGAAGGAGCTCTCCCCAAAGGGATGGCCGGGCCAGGTGACCGGTGTTGCACGTGACTCCGGGCTAATGCATAGCTCCTGGGATTGTTAGGCTCTCGGTGGCGCCGCGGTGAAACAGCACCTCCATTACTTGGCTGTTGCAGGGGAGGTAACACGCAGCTGCTAAACGTCGCAAAACTTGCGATCATTGGTCATCGCAAAAATTTGCAGCAATTTGGTACATATATCTGCTATTCGCCACAAGCCCGAACACGCCAGGAACGAACGATGAAACTACTGATGATAGAGGCCTAGAAACTATGTATCTATCGAGGATGAGTTCCAGATTTTGGTAACAACCTCCAGCATCATTTGATAGCCCCTCAAAGGCTAACTGCAGATGGGGTTATTGGGGTGGCTACCACACCGAATCTGGTTTACAAACGCCCAGCCTGGGAGGGCCATGCAGATCTTTAGGCTGTCTCTGGGGCCAGCGGCTAAGAAGATGTTGTTTCTCGGCCCCTTTGCTTGGGACTCCACATGAGCGCTTAACAATGTAACGAAGAATTCAAACTGGAGTTTCAACGATATCCTGCGTGCATTAGTGCGTGACAAGTGCTCTTCACGCTGAACATGTGGCACCTATCATCGTAAACGCTCGGACACCGCTGCTCGCGCCAGCCCCTGAGTCAGGAGCCGGATCTCTATGTATATATACATAAACCAGCTTTATTTCTCGCTCGAGTGCTACCGAACCAAATATTACTCCACCATGGCCAGTCCTGGAAACTTCGAACTATGGAGCGCCGCTGGCGCTGTCCAGATTGTCGCAATGGGCAGAGTGGAATTTCTCGATTTCAGAGTTAAACAAGCTATTGGAACTGAACAACTTGGATCTTGCTCCGTCGTGGTTATTGCATCGGTACATGGTGCAATACTCGCCCACATTCCACCACAACCACAACCAACAATCAATCCTACAAGCGCTGATGACAACGTTCGATCCATGATGAATGAGGTCGGCAGGCTATACCGGAATAAACAACCATATTTTCCATCTGCTGAATCGGTCGTCGCATGTGCAGTCTACCGAGGAGAAGTTGCTTTGCAAAGCCAGCTCGATATCATGGAAGGGAGTCTAATTGGACTAGGGCTTAGACCCAAGAATATTTCCTACGAAGTACCGGGCAACCCAGCAATTCGGGGGAAGGGGACGGTGATTGTAATCAAAAAGAGTGACTATCCGAAGCCAAAGATCTTTGTGGAGGACGGGCATGTGAATGCTTGATATGTTATTCTCGAACTGCAGATGAAGGAGCTCTGGGTAAATTGGACTCTAGGCGCGTGATTACATCGCAACTATCAGCCTGCCAGCTACTGGTAACATCATGGGATCTGTATTCCATAGCGTCCTACTATCTATCAAACAGCCTGAAATAAGTAGTGCATGCGTGGCCGAGACACTTTGTCCAATTAAAGTACGCGCCCCTGCCAAGACGGATGGAAGTATCCAATCATATGCCTCCAAATCAAGGCTGGCAGGCCAAAATGTTGTGGCGTCGGGGTTCTTTGTTTGCTACTGAGACTTCAAGCGTTGAGGCCAGGATCGGGAATGTGCATAGGACTGGTCTCAAATGGCCGCGGGCTTTCGGTCTCTTTATTTCAAAGAAGCCGCCAAGGTGGTTCTTTGTCTAGCAAACAAAGAGAACCGGCACTGCAAATTGACCATTTAAGTCCGTCGCGTCACCCACCTCTTTACTATGGACATCTACATTGAATAATATTTTCCGGCTTTATGAGTCCCGATCGCCAGCCATGACAAATAAAGCCTCCTTGCGGCCGCTGCGGCCGAGGGAGAAAGGTTCATCCTCCCAATCACAGATACCACGTCCTTCGGTTGAAAAGCGACAGAATGTCTCTCTTGCTTGCACAGAGTGTCGCCAAAAACGAACCAAGGTTAGAACCTAACGAATCTTTCATATCCCAGTGCTGACAGGATCTAGTGTTCTGGTACAACTCCGTGTGCGAACTGTACCGCGAAAGGTTGTCAATGCATCTATGGCAGTGATCGCAGGCGCAAATCTCATAGCATCGAATCGTCTATATTGCATCAAGCACTGCTCTACACTGTGGTTAAACTTCGCTCTAGAAACCCAGATAACGTGAAATCATTCATTTTACAGATCCGGGGCTTGCAAAGCGACCGAGATGGAGAGATTTTTCTCCTTCGTGAGAGCAGGCTGCGATATCAGGCTGCCTAATGTCGGATGGTAGCTGGACGAAGATGAAAGGAAGATAAAGGATTTGGCAACGGTACACGAGTCATATGTTGCTTGCAGCGGCTTCAGTGTATTCACCAAATCGGAATATCCATATCCCGAAGCTATGCCAAACAAGGGCTAGTCGATCTTGGCATTAAGGGTCAGAAACAATCGAGAAGTGTAGATGGTGGCACCAGTTCCGGAAAATATTGTAGGCATTAGATTGATTATTTGATCACTTCTGTTTGATGCATCTCTTCCAATAAATGATTAAGCCTCAATTGCGAGTACAAAAGGTAGAGCTAGCAGAGAAACGAGTAATTTCGGTAGCTGTTGATGTATAAATTGTGAAAGGCCCGACGCCTTAATGCCTCAACCTCTATCAACTAGTCGTGAGTCCCAATGACCACTCCAGCATGTCGGAAATAACGCAAAGCGCTCTGCTTTCGAGATCCAACAACCTCAATACACCACTCGAGGAAGGTTTGGAACCCTGAAATACACGAGAAAGCAAAATTCCATCTTCTAATGTATGGGGCGTAGAGTGAAGATAGAGTTGAGCTAAGAGAGTTATGTACTTGATGATCAGCCATTTGCTTCGTTGGAAATATTCCCGGTCACGCCCATCATCGACAATAGTTATGAATGTCAGCCTGTTAAGTGCCTCAATGCGAGTCAGCTGACAGAAACACAGAACAAAACCACGTGATCCGTCACAACATCATCAGCCGGCGGTTGCTCCAGCAACAGTCAATCCGTTAGGGCGTGCCGAAGAAACTCATCTTGTCCAAATTCTGACTTACCGCGCATCCTCCGACGAGAGAGAATAAATCAGTAAACTTTGGGGCATACCATGTTACGTCCAATCCACCCTGATGTGTACTGGGCAAAACGTCGCGATATTGTCCTGGATCGAGGAAGTTGCGAGGAGCGTGCCCAAAACCCCGCCCAACAGTGATCGGTTCGAGAACCTGGTGAGCAACCTGACGACGCCTCCTTCAACCCCAGTGATCCAGCACAAACGCAAAAGGTCGTTACCTGGAGCCGAAAATTCGATGCCGCAGCCAGATCCTTCGAAGAGACCCTATCGACCTGGTTCCGAAACTGGATCCACCGTTTCCGTCCGCCTACCTGACGACATCACCTCTCTGGCCCCATCAAGTTCCGTGGCTAGTCGGGGTGGGAGGTCACGTTCATCTAGTCCATCACGCGTGAAAGCAGAACTAGCCGCCGCCACCCCCGGGTCGTCTACATACATGAATCTACCGACCCCAATAGCGTCGCTGCGAGTCAGCTACTGGCAACTCTAACACAGGGTTCTGAGTACGGCCCAGATGAAGAGGTTGCTCGGAAAATTGCAAATGCGTCGTGTCAGTGTGCTACTGAACTGCGCAGTGAAGGTTCCTGGTTGAACAAGGTCGCACTGCCGCTGTTGGAAGGGGCCATTGCGGAACTGCCGTTAGAGTGTTGGAGCATGTATGTTTTAACCACGAAGCTTCCTGTGTGCCCTACTGCTTCGTTGCTAATTGCTTGTAGTCAAACAGAATCCGTTGACCCTCAGTACCAACCTCGCTACACAGCCCGCGATACATACACTCGCAAAGTGGACCTAGTTGTCGGTCTGCCTGTGGACTTTTGGAAAGTAGACTATGAACAGGCGGGGCTCAATACACCAGGGAAATGCTTCAGCCATATGACCCATCCGCACACTGGGAAACGTGTTCTAGGCCCTGGTGTTGAGATCAAAGCCGCGGACGGAAACTTGGTAGAGGCACAAGTCCAGCTTGGGGTATGGATGACAGGACTACTGATGTGGGCCTTCGCACAACGCAAGAGTGTGAAAGACTTGCCTCCACTTGTTGGTTGTACTGCTGTTGGGGAGGACTGGAAATTCTATATTGCAATCGGGGTCGAAGGATCGGGCACTCTGGAAGAAGTAGTAAGTAATACGCTTCAGTGACTGTTTCAATGGCTAAGTATTTTTTTCTTCAGCGCATCTGGGGCCCTTTATCTGATTTGGACGGCCGCACCACCAGTATTAAACATACCAAATCTCTTTTGAGAACACTTCGCCGAGTCATGGAATACACAATCGGGCAGTACAGAGAAACGATTTTCCGATCGGTTACTTCTGGAGCTTAGAGATGGATTTCAGTCAGGTGAACTTTCTTTCATTCCGGCCTTGCCAGCAGGGAAAGAACTGTACTCTCTCAAGCCATTAGGTTGCTCAAACCACTCTTGGCGGGAAATTACCTTTGCAAAAGCCTCTGCTTGGGCACGGTGGAATAATTGGAATAAGTTGGAAAATATGCATTATATATAAACCTTTACGAAGAACCAAGTTCATTTTACTCGTAGACGCAACTATGCAGTCGACTCTTAATACAAGATGTAGGTTGAGGAAGCAAAAGAAAGAGGTTAATAGATCCGTCTTAGGAGTGGCACGATATAGCACATAAGCTCACTAGGCCGGGGCACTGGCTGAACTTTTGCTTTGCGTCTGGGATACCTGGAGTATTGGATCATGCGCGTGATCTGGCAGGGGTGGTAGGTCCGGGCGTGGAGATTGATTGACTATTAGTGGCTCTTCAGTGGAAGTGGGGTCTATGATGCTCAAGCCGTAGTGGGAGATTTCGGTACGGCACGTCCCACAGCCGCCAGAATATACTAGTAGGAATGAGCCTTGGGAAAAGGTCGTAGTGATTAGCAATCCGTCTCACGAATCGTGAGATCTATCGAACAATAAGTTAGACCAGAGATGAGTGCGTTCCAGGAACTGACATCCTGGTGTTGTTTTTTTTCCCTTTCTTGAATGCATTTCTTTTGTGTGAAGGGTTAGAGGGTAGTGGGTGGAGAGGAAACAAGGAGAAGGCGACTCCAGCTTATAAAATAGTTTTTTTTTTTTTTTTTTTTTTGCCGTTCTCTGCTGCGGGAATTGTTTTTTCTAGCCCAGGAAGAGTACTATAAATGGCTCCCTGCTTCCTCGACCAATACAATGCCTCCAAACGGATCAGACCCGTGTCCTCGAGCAGTACGAGAACGGGTTATTGTTCTATAAATGCATCTCACCCCCGGTCTTTCATTCTTTATTGTTGGGTACTTTCCCTGCCTTCTCGAACAATAATTACATTGCCGTCACTACAGTCTTCTGCTGTGTCTTATTTTCCAGCATGCCCAGCCTCAGGTTCCTTGCGCACCGGGTACCCAAAAGCTCTTTCATCTTCAAAGATTATGCAGGCCACCAGATGGATGGATCGTTTCCGGTGTCATGGAGGCCAAACGATTTGCGTTTTCACTGGATCATGGACGCTCTTGGACACACTCTAGAAACTGCTCAGCAGGTCTCCAATCGTTGTCATATCTCAAACCTCGAGCAGTTGGGCTCGCTCGGCAACATAATTGTGGGAGGTGTGACTGGCCAGCCTCTTACATCCATTATGGAGAGCATCGAACAAGACACCAAACACCGGATAACTTTAATGGTTTCTTGGCATTGGGTTGAAGATTGCGATGGTGAGCTAGAAATCTACTAGTATAAACAACTTTATGACCACATGCCTGATATGCAAGAACAGGAAGTTGCCCGTACAAAAATATTTTCACGCCTCTCAGAAAAAAAGCAGAGCGCACCCATCTACTGTCTATCGAGACTAGCCAGCTGGAGAATGACAATTCGCCCTGCCAACCAGTGCTAGGTAAACGCAATAGAGGACACGAAGAAGAGGAAGATTCTGGGAATAGGCCATCAAAGCGCCTGAAGGGAAAAAGATGACTATCAGATATGAGGAGTGTGCCTATCTTGTAGCGCTAGTTGCCTAAATTCTTTCCTGCCCGTTATACCAAGATGTATTAAGAAGTTCCGGTATATCTTACTACACCTAATTCACTTAGTCGCAATTGCAGCTTTTTATAGAACTCTAGTGTGGTACGAGGCTAGCGCTAAATAGGAACACTGCCGTATCATCGGAAAGCTACCTACACGATATATACCAAGAATCGAGGATAACTTATTTCCAATCACCTTAGATCACATATTGTATATCTGTCTCATGCTTATTGAATGTTACAGGGTTGGATGGATGGATGGATGGATGGATGATTTCATTTACCCCGACCCCTCGCAAAGCGATATGCAGGCTACCACAGCTATATATATACGTGTATGTACATATGTGATGTTCCACTTCCTGAAAACGAACTTAGAGCCTCGTCAAGGCCTGTCGTGGCCTAGTTGCCGTTCCCGTTATTAGGCTGCCCTCATGGCGCGCGACTTTTGAACCGTTGTGACGCCTCGGCGAAGTCAAGCACGGCTGTGACCGTCTTAACCCGAGAGACGATGTCTGGCTTACCTCTCTCACCTTCTTTGGAGCCTCCCAGCAGACTCGATACGCTGTTAAACGCATCCCCAATCTTCGTTTTTAATTCCCTTCTCAACTCCTGCAGTTTTGGACAGTCCACCAGGACGTGAGTGACTGTTTCTTGTGCGCCGCACGCGCAGCGATCATCGTCGCGGAAGCCAATGGCGTTCCTGAAGGTGGACAGCCAATTATGGCCCGTGCGTAGCTGTGTCAGCAAGTACGCCCGGCCCCTAGGTAGATTCCCGTAAAGTTTCCTGGTGTAGGCCGCCGGCAGAGTGTTATCAATTTTCCGCAGGTGACCGCCCTTGGTGGATGATTCCCACTCCCGCCTCCACTGAGCGCGGATGTTGTCGCGAATAAGCGCCTTCGTCCTTGACAGCAAAGGGCGGAAGGAATGTGATTTGCCAGGGCTTGCCGCGTCCTTGGCCAGCCGATCTGCTGCGTCGTTTCCTGGGTTGTCGCAGTGTCCGGGTATCCATTGGAGACGGAGCGCGATTCCCGCTGCTTGAGCCTCTGTGGCCGCTTGGAGGATCGCGTGGATAATGCGTTGCCCTGATTTGTTACCGGGGTTCTGGATTGCTTGCAACGCTGATTTGCTGTCGCAGAGAATCGTTGCCGTTGTTGTTCCGTTATGTTCCGTTCTTGGCCGCTGATGACTGATCTTGAACACTGTACTGATAGCGTAGAAGATGCCTATGAGCTCTGCTACGTGAACCGACCACCGGTCCATGGGTCCCACCTGGATCTGCTGGGATTCGATAACCTCGAGGTCGTTGTCGAGTGCAGCGACAGCAGCGCCTAGGTGGCCTTCGCGTCCCGAGGCGTCAGAATAGACCACGGTGGCGGACGTGGAGCGAACGGCGTCTGCCCGCTCCCTTGCCGTCTCTCGGTCTGAGTGGATCTCAATCTCCGAGAAGGGCTCGGTTCGCCACGGTGGTAGCGGTCGTGGGTCGATCGTCTCTAGTTCATCTAATCTTTCGAGCTTCATGGTCTTCAGGGCTTCCGCCAGTGGAAAACGAGCGTACGATCCGATGTTGTCCCTACGTTTTTGGGCTCGCCGCAGTGTGTCCCACATGGGGTGGTCGCGCGGCAGAGTGTGGAGGTTTGCGATGGTGTTCTGCGCTCGGTGGCGGAGACGGAGGTGCGTTGGTAGAATGTGTGCTTCTACTTCCAGGGTGGCAGTGGCCACCGTCTTGAAAGCTGATAGTATGCGGATCAACACCATCCTCTGGACCGTGTTCAAATGTCGGAGATGAGTCTTGTCTCGTAGAGGGTCGTGCCAGACCGTTGACGCGTAGTCCACGACCGGTGTAACGCAGGCTTGGTAGAGCTGTCGCATCTGCTCAGGGCGCAGATGCCGCAGTCGACCCAAAGCAATGCTGACCTTGGTTGCGCGTTTGATCGCTTGCTGGATGTGGTCCTTCCAGCGGAGCTCGTGGTCGAAGATCACTCCTAGCAGTTTGGCGGTGGACGACGGTTCGACTGTCTTCCCGTTCATAACCACTTGGCCTTGGAGCTGCTCGCTTCTCTTCCTGGTGATGTGGATGAGTTCGGTTTTCTCGGCTGCGAAACAAGACCCGGTGCGCTGGGCCCATGCTTCAATGCGGGGGATGTCTTCAGACTGAATCTTGGTCAGGTTGTCGTCGGCTGAGCGACCTACTCGCCAGCGGAAGTAATCATCGATAAAGGCGGATGCCCCGCCGTGGAATGTGACGGCTTGGTCGACAAGGTCTGAGTTGAAAAATGCAAATAGGATAGGCGACAGGGGAGAACCCTGTGCTAATCCTGCGTTCGCCAGCGGCGTCATCTCAGTGCGAAAGTCGTCGAATCCAATGCTTGCGTGGCGGTCGCTCATGAAGCTCGCGATCCATTTTCTCGCCACGGTTGGGATTTTCCTTGCCCGAAGGCAAGCGTCTAGGCTCACTTTGTTGACTCCGTTGAAAGCGCCTTTCAAGTCAAATGCCACCAGCGTTAGCACTTTCTGTTTATACCACGCCCGGTCAATCGCGTTGGAGAGAACCAAGAGGGCTTGTTCAGTGGTTCTACCTGGTCGCCCTCCGAACTGGGTGTCCGGAAGCAGACCGTGCTTTTCTGCAAGATACGACAATCGTCGTGCCATTACTGCCTCAAGGAGTTTACCTAGTGTGTTGAGGAGTGAGATCGGGCGATAGGCCCCAGGGACCGAGTAGTCTGGTTTCTTGGGTTTCCGCAGCACCACAATCTTCGCGCTTCGCCATCGCATCGGGTGGTACCCTAAGTTAATGGACGCGGCGAAGATTTGCGTTATCTGTTTCTTGAGGTGTATCCACAATTGTTTCCACACGAGCATTGGTATGCCATCTTCGCCAGGTGCTGATGATCCCTTTGCAGCTTTTAAGGATCGCTGGACCTCTAGCTCGGTGATGGTATACCACGGGAGTTCTGGAGGCGTCCGGGTGTGCCAGTCCTCGTCGGGTTCGTTCATTTGCGGGAAGAAGGCGCCTAGGAAAGCCTGCGCTTTCTCCTCGTTCTCTATGAGCTTCTCGGCGCCGACGTGCAACGCCGGCACGCATCCCCAGGCCTCTTGTGGTTTCATATAGGTGGCTGCTTTCCAGAGCTTCCCTTTCCCGGCTTCATCAAGGAACTGTTTCCAATGTGCCGCCTTCGCCTTCTCGATAGTCCGGGTCCATAATCGCCGTTTGTGTTGCATCTCTCGAAAGAGGGTCGCGGAGCGGGCGTCGTGTCGCCCAATATCTGCACAGCTTTCCTGCCACGTCCGGCGTAGTTGATTGACCTCGGTTTGCTGTATTTTGAGAGCTGGGGTGAACCAGCGTTTGGAGTATGGTGTTGGTCGCAGGTCAGGGGTGTGTCTATCCACCGCTCTAGCCGTCGCCTCTGTGAGCTTTCCGACAATCTCGTCCAGTGCCGGTCTCGTCTTCACCTCCTTCCATGGGCCCAGTTGTCGACGTACGTCTTCGGCAATCTTGAACCAGTCCGCACGGTCGTAGGCTTTCTTAGCCTTAGTGGTGGGCTGGCGTTGGGGTCTTAGGTTCCATTCTGAGTATGTTGCGCGGTGATCTGACCCATAGTTCTCGTGGTAGAGATGGCACTTGATGAGCAGGCTTTGTCGGTTCGTTACCGTCTGGTCAATGGTGGTGTTCTTTCCCGGGTCGTTGAGGGGCCAGAAAGTTGCTGTCCCTTGCGGAAGGCAACCATGGAGGTTGTGCATCTGGAAGAAGTTGACTAGTTCGCTCGCGTGTTCGATAAACTGTGGCTGGATGTGGTTGCCGCCCCACATCGGATGATGGCGGTTAAAGTCACCCGAGAGAATTACGCTTGTTGTCTTTTGGGCCTCCTGGGTATTGTGTATGATTGTGTTCTGTATTGCCGTGAGGGCTCGTTCTGCCGACGCCTCACCCGGCGTTAATAGCGGGACACATGAAAGGTAAACCGAAAAGATAAGATACTGAGCATCGGCTGTCCAGATCTTGATTGCCGTGATGTCTGGGTGGTCGCAGGTGATCTGTCGATGGAAAGAGGTTGAGACTTTACGGTTGACATAGATCAGGCTGCGAAACCGACCTACATCGGTCTCGGCAGACGGTCGGTATAGTCGCCAGGCGCTGTGGTTGACGTGTGTTTGATAGGTGGTGATAGACGGTTCTTGGATCAGGAGTATATCCAGGTCCTGGTTTTGGTGGTCGTTGATAAGCGCTTCCATCCTCGGCCCCGATTTCATGATGTTTAACTGTAAAATGCGTAGGTTTGTCTCTAACATTGGGAGTTAGAGGTTGCCGGCGTTCGGCACTGGCGGTCGCTGGTTGGGTGTTCACCACCGCAGTCGAGGCATCGGGCTCTCACGCCCGGGGGACAGCGTTCTCGCTCGTGTTGGCCAGCGCAATGCCCGCATCGAGGCGTTTCTTTACATGACCATGCGAGGTGTCCAAATCGTTGGCACCGGAAGCATCTCTTTCTTTTTAGTTCGCAGCGTTCCACGCTGTCGATGAATCTCCGGCCGGCCAGAAAGCCCTTGTCTAGAACATGCTCAACTCCTTCCACGGAGTCGAACCAGATGCCGAGGGACGCGTGATGCCCCAGAGCCTTGTCTTTCTTCTTCAGCCACGCAATCTCCTCGATCCGGAGTCCTCGGTCGGTGAGGTCGTTGTCTTTCATGATTTTCTCAATTGCCTGTGTGT